ATTCAGATTGTTTCTTTCGCGAGCGAGCGCAGAATTTTGTTTGTTTTTTTAATTTCATCATTTTCCATTTGAATCAAGTGTTCTCTCTGATGCAGGGTATAATTTAGGTTATTTTTCTCGCGAAGTCTATGATCTAATTCTTTTATTTTATCAACCCATTCCCTACTCTCGGCATTATATTGATTCTGTAACTCTCTTATCAAAACCTTATGTTCTTCGGCTTCTGCCCGGAGGTACCCTAACTCATCCCACTTTGTAAGGTCACCCGGGGTATAGGCGGGAGCGCTGGGTGGACTTGTTTCATTATCTTTCTTTTCCCCTTTACTTGCCCCCTTAAATTCTATTTCACTATCTGTCGAATCTTCTTTTCTCAACCCCTTGAATTCCTTTGCTAGATTACTCAATGATTGATCCATTGTACTTTTGTATTATTTTTCCACCAAAGTTTTAATTTTAATTTTTATTTGAGCAATTATTTGATCTAAAATATTTATTGACAATTGAGCGTTTATTAATATGACTGTTACTATAGGGACATCAACTCACCCTTCCTTTGTCTCTCGCCTTTGTCTCTCACTGTTAACCAATATTGTCTTTGGATCTTTAGACTTTCAAAGCCGCGTCCACGCTTTATTTCTTGGGCGTTCAACCGCACGTTGCACGTTGTCGTTCTGCACGTTGTCGTCTCTGCGCGTTGCCGTCTCTGCTCTCCGTCTGTGCACGTTGTCATTCTGCACGTTGTCGTCTCTACGCGTTGCCGTCTCTGCTCTCCGTCTGTGCACGTTGTCATTCTGCACGCTGTCGTCTCTGTACGTTGACCTCCTGCGTTGTGTCCGCGATTTCCCAAGTTCGAGATCGTGGCTCAACGGCACCAGTGAAACCTTCTAGGGTTTTATTGTTTTATTGTTTATGGGTTCTGTATTATTAATTGTTGAAGTGCTATTACTTTTTTGTGGAATTGTCCTTCAGTTCAGCTGTTGGTGTTTACTAATTATAATGTTCAATGTTCATCCAAACCAAACTCCATCACATCAAGTGTAACATAACAAGTCAGTTATTCAGTTCAATCCAAGTATATTGTATAAGAATATTTCTTCCTTTTTAAATCACTAAGTACAAGTTTATTCAATAGTCTGCTTCAGTTACTTGGCTTCAATCTCTATTCATAGCACCAACTCTTTTTTACAGTCTCAATACTTTGCACAGAACCTGGAACCTGGAACCTGGGCCGAGAGATCTTCAGACTTCAGACCTCTCGACCCAGTCTCAGACTCCCACAGAACTCAACTTGGACTCTCTTTTGCAACCAGAACTCCCACAAAAACCCTATCATCTGTATTTATATCATATTCTAGGCTGTGCTAAATATAACCTCTGCCTTAAGTTTTAGCCAATGAAGGCATTAGGGTTTGAAACTAAGTTAAAGATGCAGACTTACATCAAAGTTACATACAAGATTATATAGCATGCTACATGCAATAACACAAGTAATATATCATAATTCAACCCCCTCAAAGGGTAACAATGGGTATACATAAATAGTGTTATATATTTATCAACGCATATGATATACTTTTTCAAAATCAATAGGTATTTAAGTCCCATTTTATAAGTTGTCATGGTTACAAGATTCCACTCAAATAAATATAAATAACTTTTCTACTCGGTCATTTTTCTGAAAATGAAAAATTTAAACCGTTGCTTAACAGTCATTTTTAGTCATCATTTAAGTTACAGTTTTTGTTACGCAGAATATTGCATACATTCATGGTTGCGCTGTATTTGTGATACGGGTGAATATGCCATACTCACCTGCGGTATATGGCATATTCCGCAGGTGAGTATGCCATATTCCGCAGTGAATATGTGATACATTGATTTCAGTGAATACTCAATACTCACCTGCGGAATATGTCATACTCACTGTCGGAATTTGCCATATACCACAGGTAAATACAACATATACCGCAGGTGAAAACGTGATACATTAAGCCATGATTTGATTGGTGGGGGGGTAAGTATGTCGAGTGCTAATATATGAATCCTGAATTGGTTGAGTAAGTTTATTTCATGAGATTGGTGAGTGATACTTCTGCATAAGTTGATATATTCAATACACTGTTCTGTTGATTCAGTAATCATTATAATAATTTATAAATTTTTACTCGTTCGTTCACTCAATGCAATAGACAATTGCGTACTTCCGTATCACATTCTCATTGGTTAGTGTGTATGCCATATAACGCAGGTGAATCTGTCATACACCGCAAGTGAATATGCCATATTCGTTGCGGAATATGACAAATATTTGTATCTTTTTTACCGTGTAACAGTTTTTTGTATGAATGAAACAATTAATTTTGAGCAATTTATCAAACTAGAAGTCATTTATCTTGTGGACATATCCTGACTTTTCTGATTTTGCATTTAGTCCATGGCATGACATCTCTAAGACTTCTGATAAAAGAGCTGGTAGAACATTATAACGCTTCGATATGCGACCTAATATTCACATACCTTAATATGTTACATATTTCTTTTCATTCTGGCCGACAAATAAACTCCTTGTTTTTGGGCCTAATTATGCCTATCAATAGCAGTGGTCGAAAATGTAATAAAAATATATTTTTTACATAAGTCATTCTAATATAAAAGCGGTTCATTTATACAGTTTACCTCAAAAGTGCAACAAGGCAAATTAGGAATGAGTTTTCCTATTTTTGAGGAAAATAGCCTTTAAACTATTGCTAATAAACGTAAAACATCTATTTAAAAATAAGACTTGATTCTCTCTAGCATTTTGTACTTCAAATTGTTCAAAAATATTTTACGGCTTGTGTCCTACATAACACATAGACATGCACTGGAATGAAAATTTCAACGCTTTTTGAACCCTTGTGATGACAGGCATATTTCTATCGAAAGGCCCGAAGCAACTAGTATTCGAATAAAAATAAAACATATACAAGGGGCGATCCATATATTCTGATAAAAATCTCCTCATTTTGTGATTTTTTCACACATCCCTCTCCTTTTTTCAGAAAATGTAGATTATGTAATTACACATACAATGCTAAAATATAATAGCTACATCTTAAATTATTTATGAGATAAGATTGCCATGGTAACCTGTATTAAGGATAGGCAGGTCAATTAAATTATTACATATAAAATGTAATAAAAACTTGTTGTTTTAATTATTTCAAAGCATGCGGAAATCATGCATTTTTTCTAAAAAGTTTTGGTATTGTTACTCGTTGTTTGTTGCTAAACAAATGCTTCTTTGAGCCCACTATAACATCACAGCAACCCACAATAGCATTGTAGGACATAATGGGCCAATTGACAGTACATGTCATGAGACACACCAAAAATCAAAATGTCAGATGAGGTTAATGTGGCTGATGCAGAGTGTGCCATTAACATATATACATTAGGGAATACCATTAGATTTTATTTTCTCTCAAGAATATGTAAGAGGACACTGTCAGAGACATACATGGACTCGTTAACCGTATGGAAAAGGTGTTGTATCTGCATAGAGAATCTATAGGTAGTATTGTAAAGAGGAAGGCATTGTCACTGTTGAAAATCATCCACAATCTGGTTGCAGGAAGAGCTTGCGGACAGAGAGCTTGCGGACTTCGATAAATTGAGATGTTACTTATGAAAAGATAGCTATCCCACTGTGTAAATTATCAAACAAAGGGTAACAGGGGTATGGAACAATTCAACGAATAGTTGGCAATGACTGGAAGATGCATTTGATCTACTTAAAACAGGTACCGAGGAATGATTAAATCAACAAAGGAGCACGTGGGTTATCAATTTTCAGAAGGTTATATCTTGGATTATGACTATTTCTGACAATGAAGACAAGTTTATCTTTTAGATCAATTCATTATCTCAAAGAAAATAATAATAAAGTCAAACAAACTCGGAGATATTTAACCCATCAACACACTTTTTCAAAGATGTTGACCCCATTTTCACCAAAAATGCAATCATTTTTTACAATGTTTAATGCATAACTATTCTTTATTTTGATGTATCAAATAGTTCTTGAAAGAAAAACCTAATTGCTTTATGATAAGAGTTCCCCATGTCATTTCTCCATTGAAAAATCTCATGCTATCCATTGGTTTCAGTTCATTTTGGTCATCCAAATTCAGTATCTTTAAAGTCCCTGGAGCAATCAACTTTTCCTTTTCGGATATCGAACATGTCTCAAAGCACATTCTAATTATGCATTCAACAATATAATAAAAGGTTGCATTTTTGGTGAAAATTAGGTCAACATTTTTGAATAAGTATGTTGATTCGTCCATTACCTCTTCAATATCGTTTATGTCTGATGAAGTTAATTATCATTATATATACTTTTCTTGAAGATAATGAATGGCTCTAAAAGATACACCCATGTTCATGATCAGAAAATATTCATAATTTAAGTAAGAATCGTTCGAAATTGTTTGCGATAACCTACGTGCTCCTTTATCTATTTTATACGTTATAATTTAACTGACCTGCCTACCCTAAATACAGGTTATCATGGCAACCTTATCTTAAAATTAATTCAATATTTTAGCATCGTATGCGGAATTACATAATCGACATGTTCTGAAAAAAATGAAAGGGATATGTGAAAAAATCACAAAATTAGAGAGCATTTTTATCAGAATATATGGATCGCCCCTTGTATACAACTCCTTAAATATTATTTCAAATGTTGCTGCGCTATTGTGTGCTATGGACTCTATGTAGTCCGGAGTGATGCAATATATTTATTCATTTAAACTTGATTAAAATTCTACTTTGATATACATGTACTATATTAGACTATATACGAGACATATACAAAGGAACATTATAAACCAACAATAAGTAATATGAAGGAATCAAGTTGACCTAGCACCCCAAAACATGTTATTAAAAAGGATCCACCTTTATTCTTTGAAAATCGATTGCTTAAATTATTTAAAGTTATAAAATCATCTTACTAGTGGGTATCCCTGGTGTTGGAGCGGCTGTAGAATGTATACGAATGGTTCCACCTGAAACATAAAAGTAATTTGAATTTACACATCTTTAATTAAAATATTTATATTTGATCATATAAATAAAAAGCGCATAGAATTGTCTGACATATCATAGCCGAGAAACAAAACATCAATAACCAAACATATATCTTTATACATCTATATCATATTTACATTTTAAACTACTATTGTAATTATATCATCGTAACCTACAAAGCAAATAATACTTCGGCGTAGGCCTTGAATTTATTTGTTGAAAAGTATAATGAAATAAATATAACCAAAACTTAAAAATAACCAAACATAAACGATTAAAACCAACTTTGGACTCTGACTACGGCATCGATTAAACCATTTAAAATGTAGATAGACAAAACCATGCGTAACTGTTCAAATATTGAGTTACATTCAGTGAAGGGCGTGGTTTTTGTTTGATATCTATGACAGGATGTAGTTTTGAATTCTGTCGATAGGGAGAGTACCTATCGGCCTCGTTCTAGTTTTCTTGTTCATTTTATATTTCTCTACAAGATGTAAGCTCATTTGTATGTAATTCACCTCTGTTTCTGGTAGTTACGCAAGAGCTAAATAAAGCATCATATTCAAAACTATTTCTGCTAGTGATGTAATTTTGTAAAACTTACTTTGTGGTGTTGTTGCTGCGGTAACCATCGTTGATCCTGGGGTAGTCTCTGGCGCAACTACAATTATCACATTCAAAAAGATAATCTATGACATGAGTTAAATCAGCTAGAACTTTCAATGGAACTTAATTTGAATCCGGAAACCATGGTGAATGCAAGATTAGAACTGGCTTGATCTTCGGATTCTACTTTTTAGTAATCGTTACCTCGATTTAGGTTTCATAGCTAGACATACAACATAATTTTATTCTTAGTAATCATTTCAAACGTTTTCTTTGTTGTTGCCAAACATACATGTACTCCAATAAGTGGACTGTTTCTTTCCTTAGAATTTTATGATTATTTATTAATGATTTACAATGCATCAGCCAAGCCATTGAAAATTGTTGCAAAATTGTAATAACATCATGATAGTACAGAAATAAAAAGTAAATAAAAACCATTTCAGTGATACATAATTAACATACGTTTACATTGAGGTGAGTCACCACTCCAAGCACCACTCGGTAGACATTGTCTAACGAAAGCAGTTTGGTAGGAACCTCCAATAGCCTGTGTAGGTACGTAGCCCGGAATACATCCAAGAACAACACGACTGCCCACCGTTCTGCTTTGTCCCGAAATGTAACCGAATCTCGGAGCCTCCAGTTTGCGACAACTGGTTGCGTTTAGTGGTTCTTTTAGTTTAAATCAAGAATACAAGATCAGTGAAGATAAACATATACAATTTCAGTGCCATTTCATAGAATAGACATATGGTTTGCATATGGCGCATATGTACATGCATATATGTCTCCATACTGATGTATTCAAATATTAACCATTTCGATAACATATACAGTATCATCATTCAAAATTAAAATCAGATAGATAATTGGCTAAATTATAATTAAAAAAGAAGACGAAGAATTATATCTAACTACGTCATGTTATGGTTAGCTTACCCGCCCAAAGAATGCACGTGTAGTTAACGGGTGTGTAGGCGTTAATTACGCTCGTGCAGATGTAAAATTACGCCCGTGCAGACGAAAAATTACGCCTGTGTAGGCGTAAATTACGCCCGTGAAGAAGTCAATTCTGCGGGCGTTCAGAATACATTTACAGGCGTGAACTTACGGCGTTAAAATGATTAATTACGGGCGTTAAGACGGTTATTTTACACGCGCTGAGAAACATCTTCACGCCCATCGAGTTTATTTTTAGCGCCGTAACTTATGAACCAATCAGAACCTTACTTACATAATGATTTAATGCATCCTTGCTAAAAGAGCAACTCCAAGATCCTTGCTCAAGTAAATAACAATATACAGTCAGATCGCTATAAATGTATCCCTCTAAAGGATGTGTTCAGATACTAGAATTATAGTATCTGATCAACTGCAAATTGACTCTAGACTAAAGCTATATATCCTGCAGATCTGGCATTTTTTGAATATGTACTGAAAATGTCAGATGAGCCTATATACCTACATGGGCTCTATCAGAGTATACCTAGCCAACATATGTTCAAATTCGGTGTAAGGGAGATGTGTACTTTTTGGAATCTTTATGTAGCCGTCTTTATAGTCACATGTTATTTCCAGGAATACATAACTCATTTAATAAATGATATACATCTTTCGCATTTGCACAAATAGTGCACCGAGATACCCACACTTTTAGCTAGAATGCATTGTATCATCATGTAAGCAAGATGCTGATTGGTTCATAATTCACGGCGCTAAAATGAACCCGACGGGCGTATAGATGTTTTTCAACGGATGTTAGATAATGTCTTGACACCTGCTATTGAACATTTTAACGCCGTTAGTTTACGCCTGTATTTGTTTTAACGCGTATAGAATTCACTTCTTAACGGGCGTAATTAACGCCTTCACGGACGTAATTAACAATTCTACGTCAGAACAATACGATTATATAGTCATACTGATCATGATGACGTCAGATTATAGGTTTAAACTATTCATGTTACATGGCTGAAATAATACTTAAGTCTCTGTTATTGTCCCTTTCAATCTAACTTTTATTCGCGAATACAACTTTCGGCTGTCGACTACCGGATTAACCTACTATTTTATGACTAACTCATTTAAATATGAATAGAATAGTGGCAAGTACTATTCATATTTAAATGAGTTGGTCATAAAATAGTAGGTTAATCCGGTAGCCGACAGCTGAAAGTTGCATTCGCGAATACAAGCTTAATTCCAGAAAAGCACTTTGAGAAAGAGCTTAAAGTTGTTTACCGTACTGGCACACAACACCATATCTTTGCCTCTCACATCCAGTTTCACCAAGCAATGGTCTAAAGTATTTAAGCTCTACACGTGTACTCCACCATCCTAAAATGTTGACAATCAACATTATTTGTATCGTTGTTGCCTATGCGCCATGCATCTTTTATAATTACATTCATTATATTTTGATATGTATATACTGTTAACACTAGACATGATAATCTGTAGCCTATTTTGATAGCAGTGGTATATAGTATAGGATAGACTAACAGCATCATTCTCATAATTACCTTTTTTTAATTCAGCCTTGACACACCAACTTTCGTTGAACTTCGGTAGATATGTTCGGTCCGCTGGAACAAGTAGAATAACAAAGTTGGGTAAAACTGGTTTTAATCAATTCGGGTATCAGAAAACATTGCAAACAACGTAAGTTAGGAACAGTATAAAAAGTAGTCTTCAATAAAACTAAGTATACATTTTCGCATTAATGGAATCATACGCTGATGAAATGACAGTTCTACAGTCAATAGGATGTCTAGCCATGAGTTTTCAAATGAAGATTCGCTTAACATAATTATCATAATTGAAGAATAGAGACTCAAAATTAAAACCTGAAAATTGGTCGTATCAAAATATATACACCGATGGAGATACTGATATTACTGTGTATAATGACGTTCCTCCTTAATACAAACTCAATTAGAAACCCGCAAAACTTTCGGGTTCATACATACCTATTACCCAATATTTATTTCGTTCTCGTTGTGTCACATCTAAGTGTCTCTGCACTAGTTTTAGAATCTCGATGCTGGAAATCACCGCCATTGTAGACTGTTGGTCTTTGCATTTTTTCTTTGCAGCGTCATAACTATAAGCCTGGTCCTCAATAAATTCATAGCATATATGTCTATATACTTCCTGTCTGTTTGTTGTCGAACGGCAAAACGAAGTGTCAATATCTAAAAGGAAAATAAACAACGGTACTTTAATCATGACAATTGATAACATTTCCTATCTCCATAAAAATGCTGCTACCGTAGTTTAATTATTGAAAATCGTTATAATTTTAATATCCGCTCACTTTTGTAGGTCCATGCATCAAAAAACGAACATGCATTTCAAAGTGTTTAACACTGGTACTCACCAGAAATAATCGAGAAATAAAAATATCTTACCGAAAACGAAGCCCGGAAGTTCTTCCATCTTGTTACGCTAACGTATCGTCAGCGTAACTGGGTGAGTACCAGTGGGTTAAGGACGTGTAGAACGGTTTCAACTTATTAGCGTGACTGGACGGAGTGGGGGTAAATCGAAAAAGGTTTTAACTTACTACACACTGGTTGATTTCCCGTCCATGTATATTCCCATTCCGATTGACGGTAATAGTATGTGGTCTCTTTTTTTATACAACTCCTCTTTTGTTCTCCCGCTAATGAAAAGTCCCTGTTGCATGAATAAGATATAGTGATGTTCCAGTCATCTGCTTTGGGGACATAAACCTGACCATTAGCGGGTGCTTGAGGCGTTTTACATGATGCTGAAAGTCAAAGGATGGAAATTAATTTAAGATACTATCTTAAGAAAATTAACGATTTTGAATATGTATTGTTTATCCCTACATTCAAGTATTTGTATAATTTATTATTTTCCTCTACATTCAAGCAATTGTCTTGAAATCGTTTGCAATATGAATATGTATATTGCTTTATTTGTATCCTTTTATTTATCAAGTTTATAAATTTGCCTTTTACTCCCTAGATATGCTAGTTGTGAATTGGACAAACAAGATTGCAATACATTGCAGCAGCAAACTAACTTGTTGGATAACGTTGTGCTTTAATTGAATAACTTATGGAAACAAGACCTTGCCAAGGTATTTTTATACATATTTCATTTAACATGTGATAACATAAATTATTGTAAAATAGAGTCCCTTGGTAAAGATTTGACAGGTTACATGCGACTTAATAAAGAATATAGATGCAGTTGAATGTGTTAGCGAGCTTTCTTTTGACAAACGTTTCAGCGACGTCTATGAAATAGTGATTTACTTTGTAATTTCGAGTACTAAGAAAACAGGCATTGAATATAAATATGACATGCTTGTAAATATGCAACTTAGACTTGAGATTGCTATTAGATTTAACGTCAGTCAATTTTCAATAAAATTGTGAAATGAATATTTTTTGTCCATGATAAGGCTTCTGCTATTATATTTTCGGAATATCAAAGTATACTGTCAACTCTATTTTTGGAGAGTCTACCATGAATCTTGTGAAAATAACATGAACAATGATGTATTCATTAAGATATTGAATTCCAAAAAATAAATCAAACAGTTCGTTAAATTCTCTGATACTCTGTCTTAATCGATTAACCAATAAGTACCATTCTGCTCTAAATATAGGTGTCCTGTATGTGCCATAAAATAGTACATACATTAAAGTGTTATTTCGTATTATCCAAACATATTTCAATGCCTTTCGATGTCAAATCTATCCCAATATCTTACGGAAAGAAATTGCAAGTTAAAAATATAAAAAAATAGATTCATTTCAAATGTCATTGTATCATGTGACAGAATGGAATGGAACACACTTGTCGCTCTCTTAATCAGACTTGGTACACTGACACGTATTTTAGTCATACTTGTACAGTAATGTACACATTCGTAATACAAATTTTGAGTACTTTTTTTTAACTTGAGGGTATTTTGTGATTTCGAGGGATGTTATTTTATTTTCTTCATTCACGGGCAAATAAAATTAATGCTCTAACAAGTCATATGGTATTACACAAATCCCCTCAATCTGCTTTTGTTTTTGCTGTTGTCCGTATCCGTCGCATTTAAGTTTTTCACCTTGATGTCGTAATGTCTTCTTCAATGAATCTTGCAAGCACTAGTTTGGTTCTTGTGAAGCAGATCTGTCACAGAATCGAAATTAAATGCTATCAATTTTACTATCTACGATTGATTTTATCGTTATGTATCACACTCTTCCTCAATCCAGGTACAGACTCGTACTTAAAGTAATATCTCACTGTCCAGAAGCTAAAAAAGACCACATTTCAAATCTGAAAAAAATTCCGTGTTTGCCTTGGAAACCTTATTGGGCCCTAAAATGTTGAAGAATGAAGGCCCATTTTTGATAATTTGGCTTAAAAATGTCAAAAGGCCAAGAAAAGCCCAAAAATGGCTACTAATTGAGGCCCTTCTTTAAGCTAATTTTTTTCTCATACTCTTAGTAAACTATTGATTCCTACCTGGAACGCATTCATACTCTAGGTCGTGACAGTGCAAGTTCTTGCAGCAGGACTTCTTAATAGATATAGCGTAGTTGTCCAAACGCAGACGACAGGTCTGAAAAAGAATGAGTATGCATGATTTCACATTTGGCATAGTTATCCAAACGCAGATCACATGTCTGAAAAAGAATATGTACGCATCATTTCACCTATGGCATAGTTATCCAAACGCAGATCACATGTCTGAAAAAGAATATGTACGCATGATTTCACGTATGGCATAATTGTCCAAACGCAGACCACGTGTCTGAAAAAGAATAAGTACGCATGATTTCACATATGGCGTGGTTGTCCAAACGCAGACGACAGGTCTGAAAAGAGTAAGGACCGTAAGTACGCATGAGTTTACTCTCAAAGAGAGGCATATTGTTTGGAAAGTAAAGAGTTCAATGGATAATTCCTTCATTTCTAACAAAATATATTCCTCTGGTAAATGCTAAATATGTCTTGTAATGCAGAAAAATAGAGTCAAATGTCGGTATAAAATTAAGTTATGAATTGTTTGGAAAAGGGAATCGGGAAAATAATTCTGACTAGGCGTAATTAAAGCTTACTTACCTCCATGTTGCTGCAATAGTCAAATGCCTTCTGGGTAAAGTTGTGACGACATTCATTTTTAGAATTATTCATAACACATGTGAGATTTTGCTCAAATGGATACAATACGGCATCCTTCACTACTATCGTTTCACCCTCTGAGCAGTTTAAATAGAAGTAATCCTTGTCGCCCCACCAGTCCTCTTTGCACGAATGGTCTTTTATTGTTACCCCGACCTCTGGAAAGAGAGATACGACATTTTGAAAGTGCAACTTTGGCAACATTAAAAAACAAGAGTATAGGGATGCTTACGTTTTGAGTTGTCTTTCAGTGTTACCCCGACCTCCGGAAAGAGAGATAAGACATTTTGAAAGTTCAACTTTGGCAACATTGAAAAACAAGAGTATAGGGATGCTTACGTTTTAAGTTGTCTTTTGATGTTACCCCGACCTCCGGAAAAGAGAGATAAGACATTTTGAAAGTGCAACTTTGGCAACATTAAAAAACAAGAGTATAGGGATGCTTACGTTTTGAGTTGTCTTTTTGTGTTACCCCGACCTCCGAAAAGAGAGATAAGACATTGAGAAAGTGCAACTGGTAACACTTAAAACAAGAGTTTTCCACGAATTAAAGGATGATTTAATAGTTTCATTACGTCTATCGGTCAAGACAAGTAACTTAGTCAACATTCGATATTCGTATGTTCATCAATATTTACTAAGAATGGTGCCACAATTGAAGTAAACCTCTGGTTAATTATTTTCAATAAACCTATCAGCAAACGTGTAAATGATAATTTTGATGTTCTGTTACATATTGGTGAAGCAATCTTTGGGATATGACCTAAATTTCTGATTTTCCACTGTGTCCCTGTATACCCCTACTTCAAAAGATATATGTTATTCGTCATTTATCATTATGAACCAACCATAAATGTATTTTTTCTTGTTTACATACAGAATGAACTTTCGGTTATCAAATATTGCAAGGCGGTTTTGCATTTATTTGTTCAGGATATCGAGTAAACGAATGCGTGTCAATTTACACTGTAATATCCTACATACTTATATTTCAAGGGTAGTTTTGAAGAATAATCAAGAAAATCCAGTTTTCAAATGGATTCATCCTTGTCAAAGAACGTGAATGAGGATATGCCGTTTGAAAAACTCACAACATGTTTCAAGTTCTTTCAATTTTTGGTTAAAAAAATAATTTGAAAGTTGTGATTTCGAATGTAATATCCTACTCAATGAAATTTGTTCATATTTGTGAATTTTTTCTTTCGAAATGCACATTGCTGGATAACAGAACCTTGCCATGTTCGAGATGCACGAAAAGTGTTTTGTTAATACTTGACGTCGTACGGTACGGATATTTGGATGTGATTGACGTTTTCGTTAATCTCCTACCACTGTAATTTCCAACTTAATTTTTGGAAGCCAAATGTGATAGTCACGAATTGATATTTAAGTCACACGTTGATGCATACATCATGTGTGTACATTAACTGTCGAATACATGCCAACTTACATTTATATAAATATCCACAATTAACTCAAATCATCAATTCTCGAAACAATTTATTATTTAACCTGGTGAATTGAATGTTTCATTTTGATTCATAATTATGGTATCGGATTTGAGTATGATATAATTCGAGGCTTAAACAAAGCAATAAAATTACGTGAAACCTTTTGTGAAAATTCGAACGATTTTTCAAGAATCCTCCTTCAAAGTGATACCAAAGTGCTCCCCGGGAGTGGAAATTTCGTCTTGTGTAATCAAAATAATAGAACGGGTGGTTTGAATTTTTGTTTGAGTTTATAGTTTACATCTATAAATTGAAAAACATATCGCCTAATTGAGAGGTACATGCATATTTTGGCGATCTATCATTATAAAGGGCTGAATGTTGTGTAAAAACAGGAGTTGACACGCTTACATTTGGAAATGAAATTTCCTACATAATCGTCGACTCATGTTTAAAAGTCATGAAAACAAGGTTGAACACAAAACATTGACCCAGTTTCTGTCTATTCAGCATGGGTTCACTAAGGGAAATATTATTAATGACTTATATCGTTTACAGTTAAGTTGTATTCCAAGAAACTTATCAATTTAGAAATGCAAAATGTTCAATTTTGTTTTACAATTATAAAAAATGGCACCTGTAGAGAACGTTTTCAAAATTTTTTAAAACGGAGATATTTACTTATGCAACATTCATTGGCATGTGTCAGGGAGTAAATAGGAAGAATATGCATTTGATTCTATTTCTTGTTCCCAAAGGAGTTTGTTAAGGAGCGGTATATCTTAACGTACTTTTATCATCCCGAACGCAAACATTTCGAATACTTATTTCGAGAACGCTTTGCTGAGAATGGATTCGAGATGTACTCAAAATGAGTGCGTTAAAATGTGTATTATCATCTAAATAACCACCTCACAAATTATTTTGGAAATCAAAGATGTACGATTTTTGAGATTTTTATTTTCGAATGTTGAATTACTTACTTGGCTTGACTGCTATACATAGTCGAGATGCTTAGGTTTTGCTCATGGCATAACACAACCGATGTCAGTGTTTGTGGAAATATCAAGTTGTTAAAGCTTATGGTTCTGAGATATCAATCAGTTAATAAAGGGTGGTCAAAAAATGGAAACCCTGGATTTTCCTCGTATCTTTGTCATTTAAAGGATTTACTCATTGATGTTTCACACATTTGTAAATCATTCAATTTACTACCACCCTACTATATTTCATGACCATCAGACTGATAGTCAGAATTTTACAGCACTTTGAACAACATGCTTCAGGTTTGGCCATCACGCGCTGGAGGCAAACCTGCACAGCTGTCAATGATCCAAATGCATTCCTCAGCAGGTATGGTTTGAATGATGCACATGATCCCACTTTAGAGGTCTGCAATTGTCCTATGGTCATTATTATACACTCTATCTCTGCCATATACCCATAGGTAGGGACATTTTGGACGACATGTGCAGGTTGGTCTTCAGCGCAATAGTGGCCACTGGGAATGTTCTTTAAGTGCTGTATCACGGTGATTATCAATGAGATGGTCATGAAATATGGAAGACTGGTAGGAAATTAAGTGTCATACAAATGTGCAAAGTTATTTCTTAAAATAATAAAGATATAAGGAAAATGGTGTAAGGGTTTCCAGTTTTTTGACCACCCTGTATATGGGTTCCGTATGACTTTAGTTAGTTTTCCTTCAAAGACACAATACATTTAGTCTGGTTCTGAAATACCAATCAGTTAATATATGGGTTCCGTATGATTTTAGTTTGCATTCCTCCAAAGCTACAATACATTTAGTCTGGTTTTGAAATATCAATTAGTTAATATATGGGTTCCGTATGATTTTAGTTTCCATTCCTCCAAAGCTACAATACATTTAGTCTGGTTCTGAGATATCAATCAGTTAATATATGGGTCCCGTATGACTTTAGTTTGTATTCCTTCAAAGCTACAATACATTTAGTCTGGTTCTGAAATATCAATCAGTTAATATATGGGTCCCGTATGACTTTAGTTTGTATTCCTTCAAAGCTACAATACATTTAGTCTGGTTCTGAGATATCAATCAGTTAATATATGGGTCCCGTATGACTTAAGTTAGTATTCCTCCAAAGCTACAATACATTTAGTCTGGTTCTGAGATATCAATCAGTTAATATATGGGTTGCGTATGACTTAAGTTAGTATTCCTCCAAAGCTACAATACATTTAGTCTGGTTCTGAGATATCGATCAGTTAATATATGGGTCTCGTATGACTTTAGTTAGTATTCCTCCAAAGCTACAATTCATTTAGTCTGGTTTTGAAATATCAATCAGTTAATATATGGGTTCCGTATGAATTTAGTTAGTATTTCTTCAAAGCTACAATACATTTAGTCTGGTTCTGAAATATCAATCAGTTAGTATATGGGTTCCGTATGACTTAAGTTAGTATTCCTCCAAAGCTACAATACATTTAGTCTGGTTCTGAAATATCAATCAGTTAATATATGGGTTCCGTAGGACTTTAGTTAGCATTAGTCCTTCATTTCATATGACTTAGGAATATTTTACAAACACAATTCTATTGAGGTGAATACCTGTGCATCTTTCACAAGTGATCTTTCACGAAGCCCGAAGGGCTAGTGGAAATCATCTGGTGAAAGTGTCACGGGTACTTACTGAAAATAAAATTGAATGTTTCTTTTATTATTCACTGTTATATTCCTCACTCACATTAGTGGGATGACAAACTATTGATGTCTAATTAATCATAACAATGTACCTCCGGGGCGATATAAAATTGAAATTACACGGGACTAACTCGTGACTGGTGAACATCATTTGATATCGCTTGTTATTTTTTAGTCACGTGGTTGACATGAACCAATCAGAGAGTTAGGAATATGACAGTGAAATAATAATTAGTATTGTTTTATAAGTATTAGTTTATACGATAAAAAATTAGAAGGGTAAATCAAGAATACAACATACAATACTCATAAAATGTCGCTTTGAATTTTCTTATTATATTTATCTAAAATGTATTGTCCTAACTGTATATGCTTTATAAGGGTGATCACAGACAGTAACATTCTAACATGAACTATGGCTGTTATGGTAACACAGACAATGCGCCCCGGAGCATCTCCAAATCAATGGAAAAAGTTTATGTTGACGATCTTATTCATATACCTTATACAGTTGAAACTTGACAATCAATCTATTTACCCTTCTGTTTACATTTTCTCTGTATTTGTGTTACAGTAACCTAAATAGTATTTAGTAAATATATATTCTTATTTGATTTGAAATACATCATTCAGAATCAGTAGATGAATACAATGCTCGTCCTTATTTTTATGAAATAGGATAGGGTCGCATTGTTCTTGATCAAAGAAAATGAGTCTGTTTAATTTGAAAGGATATGTTTTTCTACGCGTGTTAATTAAGTCAAACAAAGTGATTTCGTCTGAAAATTAGACCACTGACTACAAATTAACATATTTTGATATGACAATTTTTGCACTTATAGGTCAAGAAAAGTTCTTTTTTTCATTTAACATTTTTTGTTATAACATGA